TGGCAACTTTATCTTTAAAAGAGTGTTAATCAGACGAAACACTAAAGTATATTACTGCCAAATTACTCCCACTTCCCCACTTCTATGAAGCCGTGGTGCTTCCTCGGACGGCTTGACCTCGGAAGTATAGTAGGTATACATTCCTGCTACAACAATGCAAAAATTTATTAATGACATAATTAATTATTGACAATTTTTAACGATGATCATAACTTGTGAACCTCTTTTTTGTTCAAATATTCACTACGCTCGTGTTTTATGGTAATACAGACGAAAACTGACAACTCATTGTGTTATTCGGCGCGTCCCTAATTTGATGACTCTGTGACGCAGTTGCCAAGGTATTGGCTTCGGCGCCGGGGTCGTGGGTTCGATTCCCACACGCTACAACTATTTCCGTGACCCACAGAAAATTCTGTACTTTTCAAAGGGGGAGTTTCTCAATTTAGTTGCATAGAATTTGTTCGTAACCCCAGAATTCCGTGATTTATGAGCTGATTTTGAAAAACATTTAAAACCTCAGAGTTTTACCTTACTCGATTACCTCACCTGATGAAACGCAAAACTATAATTGTATTCATCTATCAATTTTTTTAAAAACACATTGTCCTTACTTTAGGATAACATTATCCTGTGTAGTATGGACGTTTTACAAACATAAATTTCACGTGGACAAACACCCAGATGCGAATCAACTATATATGGGATACAAATAGTTGTTCGACGACGAACAACGACCCCCGACCTGACCCCCCCCCACGGAGTCATGAAACATATCACTTTACGCTGGTATATTGTGATTTTCGGTCGATTGTCAGTGATTATAAGTTCGCTCAAATCAATAGCGATGGTTTATTTCCAATAATAGTCGAAATTTCAACTTCGAATATCTTTTACCAGCTCTCAGATACGACATTAGCAAAGTTACAATACGAAGACATCAACATGATGACGTGCCCTTACTCGATTTACTCTTGTTTTCATCACCAAACTGACGTCAATGATGTTTAACAGCAAAGATCTCGCATTAATAACAAGTAAGCATGCGCAGCAAAACTGTGTCGTTTACTCATTGCAATATATCTATGATATTTCTCATCGCTCGTATTCCTTCTGTCTGTCTCATGGCGTACACAAATACGATTATTATCAGCGCATGCTTTTAAATATCCCAAACTCCATAAAATAATATACCCAAATGACTCCAAATGAATTTCTAATCGGACCCATCCCGACAGATCGTGATTTTTTATGTGAGGTGGCGTGGTGGTTCACCTGATGTTAAGTGATAACCGCCGCCCATGGAAATTGCAACACCCGCATTTTTTTATTGCATTTTTTTATCAATTTTTCTCCACTCAATTTTATTTAATACTTTTTTTGTAATGTCAATACTATTTGAGCTTCAGGACGTTTAAGATAAAAAACATAGATCGGTAGTATAGTGCGAAGATACATTCTATTTTTATTGGCCTATACCCTAGGAGGCACAGATAGCGTTGCCAAGTGTCATGATTTGCGCGGGACGCGTCGATTATTAGGGCTATCACGTCACGATGCACCCTTAATCAGGATGCCGAATATCCTAATATTTCACTAACCTGTGTCGTCTGTACAGTTCTCTTTCTTCAATAAGCTTTGATTTTTTGGATTATTGTAGCTGAGGAGAAGACAAAATTCTTTTTAATTCTGCTTCCACCAAAGCATTGTATTGCGTAATATTTACGAGCTCAAGTCGAAAACCTCGGAAATGTAATCCATAGTAATATTTCCGATTAGTCTTGTTTTAAAAGCGGGAAGCTTTGGAGTTGGCTTACAAGGTCTACCATTTTCTAATTTTGAAGCCATCGCAATTGTCTTGATTTAAAAACGAAATTTTAATCATCCGTTCGAAATTTGACTCAATGGACGTGGCAACACTAGGTACTGATGAGTAGTTATACGATTATGTACAAATACAAATTACTTTATTTCTGAAAGGTTGTGACAGTAACATGCATTAACTTAATAGGTAATTACTTTTTTGTCTGGTTTTCTATAACACAATACCTCTATGGGGATAAAATATTAAGCGTAAGAAAAAAATATGAAGGGATATTATATAGTAGTTTTTTTAATACACCTCTATTTATTGATACTTTTTCTATTTATTGATACTCAAAGCGATGGGTGTGTAAGAGTCCGGCCAATTGCGTTATCGCGTTCGAATTCTTCGCAAATACGTACGCAATGACGTACGTGCTCTATGATATGCTTAGGTTTATCGGGTTTTGTTTGTAATCTGTCTGTGTACTGGAGATTAAGTTTGTTTGAAATATTATATTATGCTTAAATATTTTAAGATTAATCTGAGATGGATGAATCTGCGTGTACTAGCTTCATTCAAGCACAACAAGGCAAATGGCGGCCACAAATCGTAATGCATGAGAAAGTACGAGGACTTGTGTAGATTTATGAGTAAAACTGCCGCAAAGAGAGGTTAAAGCTGTAAGAGAAGGTGCTGGAAAAGATTAAAACTGGACAAGTGGGAGTCGAACTCGCGCACGCAGAGTTCCGTACTTTCTATTAAACGGCAAAAAAATCATGTCTGTTGCACGGAAGCTGCACTTAAATATTTTTTTATTCTGTTTTTTAGCATTTGTTGTTATAGCGGTAACAGAAATACATCATCTGTGAAAATTTCAAATGTCTAATTACCGCACTTCATGAGATACAGCCTGGTGACAAACGGACAGACAGACAGACAGCGGAGTCTTTGTAGTAGGGTCCATTACCCTTTTGGTATAGAGACGGCCCTGAATGATCCGGCCCGCAATGATTTGGTTTCTTATGTAAAACTAAATTTATATTATTACAACTAAGAAAAATTCTGTCTGTATCAGAAATAACAAAAAAAAAAACATTTACACTGAAATGTCGAGCCATCCTCTCTTTGTCCGTCGCGTTCGCGGGCTATTTCCATACAATTTCAGGATAATATAGAACATTCACAAAAGTGATCAAGGTAAAAGTTAATTAATTGATAGCAGTAATATTTAAATTTATCTAAATATTATAGCTAATGCTTTCTAATATTATGAAGGCGAAAGTTTGTATGTATGAATGGATGTTTGTTCCTCTTTCAGGCAAATAATACTGAATGGATTTTAATGAAACTTTACAATAATATAGCTTATACATCAGAATAAGATATAGGCTATAATTTATATACATATTCCTATGTATATCTGTATTTCTGTATGAATGTTAGCTTTCAGTCTATTCTACGCAGACGTAATTGCGGGCAGCAGATAGTCTAATAATTATGTCAAAGTCGGACTACAACTATACCATAAACATTCACTGACCGGTAGACATTGCCGGAGCTGATAACCGGATGGAAATTGCGAGTGAGACGATATGAAAAGGCCCAACGGCCTTTTCATATCGTCTGGCCTGTTTAAAGTTAGCAAGTGAACAGGCGTTTCACGTCATGTTAAGTGAGTATGGCCGCCCATGGATATTTTCACAAGCGCGGGATTGCAGATGCGTTGCAACCATTTATTAAAGTGGGTCCCGGCTACCTCACTCACCAGACAAAACGCAGAAGTTTAACACTTCCACCACACGCCGGTCTTCTGTGAGGTCTTGGTACTCCCCATTCGTGCAAAATTGGTAGGTGTTACGTGGCCCTACCACAGTTACTTGCAATACAAAACGATTATTACAATTAACAAACAACATTACTAGAAAAAAATGGTAGCTTTTCTTGTATCGAATCGTGATAAGTATAACGCTTATTACCAAAGGGAACAATCGGATTGTTTACACAAATAAGTCAGTCCATTCAATCTTAGCTTTTTTAATAGGTTTTATAACAAATATTACAATTACGAGACTTTACGATCTCATATATTACAAAACTTAAAACTTTATAAGCAAATATAGTTAAAAATAAATATCACTTAATTAATATTGCACGTAAGAAAAGGACTACTCTTCAATGGCAACATTCTGGATCATCGCATCAGGTGTTTACATATCAAAAATGTATATTTACACTATTAAAGAAAGCAATTAAATTTTTTTGAAGTCACATTTGCTGAGGTCCACCAAACAAGTGTTAAAAAACAAGTCAAACAATTTTTACATGAAATAATATATTTTATTAAGGTCCCTTCGCTACTAATTTTATTTTAAATGACATAAAATAAAAAGCAAATGAAAATATGTATGTTACTTTTTTAAAACCTTATCCATATTTGTACAAGTGATCTTTATATTAAAGTCATTAAGCTGCATTTTCTTCTATTGATTTGAAGACAAACGAATCTCGTTTGCTATAATAATAGAAGAGTTGTTAAGAAAATCCTTTCAAAATGTTGCCAGTTTCCTAATCCAATGTAACGCCTGTGTACAGAGGCAAGGACATGGTGTCGGCAGCATGCAAAGATCAAATCGTGCCCAAGATAAATTTTTATTACGCAGGTAGACGGAAATCTCTTCCTAAATAAGTTAATACTTAAATCATTACCCAAGAAATTATTAACGTGTTATAAAATTTTTAAGGTATAATATTTAATTTTCAACATATAATAAATCGAAATCTTAACAACGTGTACTATGTATGTGCATTATTTTAATTATGTTTCATATATTATATTTGTTATTATATGATATTGTTTTAATTACTACCCTGTTAAATATTAAGTACAATTTTATTTTCATGCGGTAACACTTAGTACAAAAGGCGGCAAATTTTAAAAAATTAACTGCGTTCCATCTTAATACAACCGCAGTAGGTCTTTAACGTTTAAGGATAATAAAATAATTTTCCGTTCTAAAATATAATTCTTAACTAACTTTTTTCGGTCACACAAATGTCACGACTTTTTCTTAACAAAAACACTTCTAAAATATTTCTTTGCTGATATGATTTCGTTGTGGCTACTATAACCGGACGATATTAGACCTTACGGCTATGCTAATACGACAGTTTGTGTCTTAACGGGACACAGTCATCGCGCCAAAACTGGCTGCGGTAGGATTTCTGGCGGCGCGTTCTCCCACGATCTCGGCATGCCGTACTTCTTCGGCTTCAGGACGTACACGAACTGGGAAGCGCAAGAAAAATATGATAAATGTTCATTAAATATGGAGGAAACATTGATTTATTCCGAACCGGTAGCGTCTTGACAAGCAATAAGTAAATGAAATGCTTCTATATTGAATAAACGTATTGATGCTTTTGAATCATTTTTCAATTGGGAGTGATCAACTGCATTCCCTGGGGTTATTAACCTTAGTGTATTCATATATATATAACCGTGATAGCTCAGTTTCCGGGCGCTCGCCTTTAATTCAATTTACTCGAGCAACATGAGTTCGATCCCCGGTGCCAACATCAACGAAATTGTTAATTTTAAGTGCTGAATTATTAAGTTCTCAACGGTGAAGGAAAACATCGTGAAGAAACCTACATATTTTTGAAATAACAATAAAAAGAAATATTTCGAAGATATGTGAAGCTCGCTAATCCGCAGTGGGATCACGTGGTAGACTGATGCTCTGATACCCTCTGTACAGAGGAGGCCTTTGCCCAGCAGTGGAGAAATTTTTAAGCTGTTACTCCTTCACTACAGAGTATAAAACATAGTCGTCCCGCTGTCTGTCTATCCCTATGTATGCTTAGATCTTGAAAACTACGCAACGGATCTTGATACGGTTTTCTTACTAGATGGTGATTCAAGAGGAAGGTTTATATGCATAATACATTGCACCCGCGCGAAGCCGGGGCGGATCGCTAGTTTATATAAAAAACGTACCACGACCACGGCGCAGACCGCGCCGACCACGAAGCCGACGGCCACGTCGCCCCAGTGGTGCATGTGGTCGGCCACGCGCGAGAGCCCGACGTACCAGGCGCCCATAAGCGCGACGTACTGCCCGCCGTGGCGCAGAAGCTTCGAGCCGCGCCACTTGCCCTTCGCTTGCACGTGCATCTGGCGGTTCGGGGGCGCAATATAAATTGTGGCGCCTAGTCTTCCTGCTGCCCTTGTACCTCGGTTGATGGTAAAGTAATATTTTATCGTTCATTCTGAATAATAATTAATTAATTACAAATTAGTGCTGATTTCATGCTACAAAAAAAATACAATTAAAATATGGTTCAAGCAAAATTACAATTATATAAAGTTAAAGTAAAATTACCGGCAAATTTATTGTTTATTAGTTAATGATTAGTGATAATTAACTGGTTTCAAAATAAATTATAACTCCTCATTATCCTGCTGCCCTTATCCCTATTTTTTTTTTCAACAATAATTTGTAATGATTGTATTTGTTGTTCATTCTGATGTACAAGTGAATTTGGAGCCGAAAGACTGCATGTAACGCCGATTTACAAAGCCGCTTTAAACTAAATAATCGAAAAAGAACTATATCACAGAATCGAGAGCGAGGCAGACAGCTATTTGCGCAGTAGATTAATACAATCTACTACTGCCCAAATAGCTGTCTGCCTCCAAAGGTCTATACAATCTTGCCTATCATATTTTAACCCCTCGGATACACAAACTGCGCTAGTTGACAACTTCGGCGCATTTAAGGGTTGTGCATCCAATACATTAAGAATATTCGTCATATATTAAGTACTAAGTTACCAGCAACGGTATCGTACAACAAATAAACTTTGGTTAACAATAAATTTCTCATAGTTTAATAAAATTTTCGGCTGTCTCTTAGTGCGTCGTGAGACAGAGACAACGCTGAACAACGCCAAAATTAGCCAATTGTCTTTATCCAGAGATGCAAAATTTATACCATATTATAAATCTCGTTAAAGGAAAACTCGCATTCACATTGACAGCCGACCGAAACTTATCTTTTTCGCACATTGCTCTCTCTTAGTGCTTCGTGCGACAGAGACAGCATTCAAATAGACAGCTGACGGAAATATATACTGAAATAAACCAAGCCGAGGTCCTAGTCAAAGAAATGACATCGTAATGGGAATTGCTCGACGGACGTAATAGCATCGCAATGAAAATGCTCACGATGAAGAAGACCGCCGTGTACATGGCGAAGCTGGAGTGGGCGCTGGGGAAGCTGAGCCGCATCTCCTTGATCCGCGAGGCGTCAGCTCCGAGGCAGGTGTACGCCTGGATGTAGCCAAGCTCGTTTAGGGGCGAGGACGAGTTCGGCACTGGTCTACACACCTGGGGAACAAACGACAACCTGTGTTTTGACCTCCGCCCATTGACATTTGCAAGTTTCCTTAGTGTTTATGATGACTCCGTGGCGTAGTTGCCAATATTGGCTTCGGCGTCGGGGGTCGTGCGTTCGATTCCCACACGGGAAAACTATTTGTGTGACCCACAGATAATTGTTTCGCATCTGGGTGTTTGTCCGCGTGAAATTTATGTTTGTAAAAATTCCCTTACAACACAGGATACTGTTATCCTACAGTAGGGGCAAGGAATTTCCCGGGATTTCCTATGGAACGCACCGGTGCGAAGTTTCGCGTTTCGTGTGGTGGATGAGTTGGCTGGGGCCGACTTTTTTAAAGGTTATCGACGCATCAGCAAGCCATCGGGTGTTGGAGATGTCCATAGGCCCAATGGTGTTTGATAACGATGACGCGTGTCCATACTGCGCGGCGAAACTGTTACGCTTCACATTATATGACATACATTTCTAGGTGAATGTCACCGATGATATAGAACGTATGATACCAGACTATAGAATTGCAATCTAATTGGCACAAATTGGCGTAATTTGCGTGCCTCAGTTTCGGTGCGCTAGTGTCATATCTAACTCATATTTTAATATCACTGCATGGGCAGCAGTATTCATTTAAAATCAGACGAATCGCGTGCTCGCTTGAAAAATTATCGCATAAAAAAAAAAACCGATGAATAAAAACTGTCAAATCAAAGTACAGTGTTCTTTAATCGGTTTTTAAATCGAAAGCCTCTTATAATTTCAGGTCAAGAATCACTTTAGATTCCTGAATCAGCGCAGTAATAGTATCTAAACCTTACAGGAATTCAGTTTTATCTTATCTATCGCGTGTTCCGTTTGATTAGAATTTAACATTCTCAGCAAAACCACCTGTCAGCTTTATCAGAGAATGAAGAAACTGGAAATGTTCAACCAACTGAATAGAGAAATTCAAACAGAAATGTGGGTCAACTTAGTTCCTATGCTTATAAAATACTTTTGAAAAAGGAAATGTTCACTGATGTACAAATAATTAATATCACCATTATACATGGCAACACATCAAGTTATCCCACGACTGCGTTGCTGTGTATTCGGCTCAAAGTTAATATATTAAGTGAGTTGGAATACGCCGATAACAATTACAAAATAATTGAAAAAAAAAAAAAACCTTGACCTAATGAATATGATTTCAGGCACTTGAACAATTTTTAACAGCTCATGCACATATAGGCCAGTTCCACCACATCGTACCATATGAAGTCCGGCCTGAAGTGAAGAAGTTAAAAAAGAATAAGACCGCAGAGTGTCTTGCCGGTTCTTCTCTGGGCATGAAGAGCAATTTGAAGTGCTCTAAAGTTTGGGATTACGAGTGAGATATCCAGTTTCGTCAATGGTTTGCAAAACTCCTATAACATCTATTATAGTTTGAACGACAATAGACAGCGGTCCTTACTTTTACAGATCCAAACTGCCCAGTGCCCAGTCAGGTACGTAAAATAAAATTAAGTTCTTTTTTTATTGAACCTGATTTAGATTATACTTCACAAATTCAATCTAATCGCAAAATTAGTCATCAATAGATAATTTTCGGTTGACTCACACTCAGAAGTCGCGAAACGGAAACAATGCCTCATTATTTTCTCGCTTGAAATTCATCGACCGTATAGCATTATTAGTTACAGCGCATATTCAAAGATTATGTATGATTTACAATTTACAGTCACCAGACGTGAATGTTGCTGTGTTTGATACAATGGAAGATATGATAAATGCGAATGTTTGTTTGTATGTTCTTTACCTAGTCACGCGACAATTTGTACGCTGGACTGACTCTTAGAATACTAGTGTGTCCCTACTTCATTAAAATCAGGCAATGCATCTTTAAATCTACGGGTGGAGTTAACGTTCATGAGCGCCGTTAACATCAGGTGAAGCTTGCTTGTCATAAAAAAAATCATAATTTGTTAAATAAAAACCTACGTATGGTGAGGTAAACACAAAATCAGTACCCAGTACACATCAGTAGAAAGCGATACGTACAAACAAAATACCACGTTTTACGTTTATGTAAAATTCTGGTTTTGAATAGTTTTCCAAACTTCAATAGAAAGATGTTGTCATAGGTAATATATTCGTCAGTTAACTAATTTTGATTATTCCAAACAACTACTTCAGATTTTCAATTTCAAAGATTTAAATTTTTCGACACAACAAACTGAGCAGCAGTTCTTCTTATGACGTCGGGCCTTTAAAATTTTAGTCTACTAATTATCTAAAATTGACTAAAATAGTCTATACCTACCGGTCAAGGCTTCAGGGCTTTGGTATTAATCCAGTACAAGCTGTAGTCCAGAGATTCTAAAATTGTCTAAGATAACCTCAATCACGATGAGGCTTCAGGGCCATGGATCCACTGCTAATAATCTAAAATAATCTAAAATAGTCAACACAGGATACTGTTATCCTACAGTAGGGGCAAGGAATTTCCCGGGATTTCCTATGGAACGCACCGGTGCGAAGTTTCGCGTTTCGTGTGGTGGATGAGTTGGCTGGGGCCGACTTTTTTAAAGGTTATCGACGCATCAGCAAGCCATCGGGTGTTGGAGATGTCCATAGGCCCAATGGTGTTTGATAACGATGACGCGTGTCCATACTGCGCGGCGAAACTGTTACGCTTCACATTATATGACATACATTTCTAGGTGAATGTCACCGATGATATAGAACGTATGATACCAGACTATAGAATTGCAATCTAATTGGCACAAATTGGCGTAATTTGCGTGCCTCAGTTTCGGTGCGCTAGTGTCATATCTAACTCATATTTTAATATCACTGCATGGGCAGCAGTATTCATTTAAAATCAGACGAATCGCGTGCTCGCTTGAAAAATTATCGCATAAAAAAAAAACCGATGAATAAAAACTGTCAAATCAAAGTACAGTGTTCTTTAATCGGTTTTTAAATCGAAAGCCTCTTATAATTTCAGGTCAAGAATCACTTTAGATTCCTGAATCAGCGCAGTAATAGTATCTAAACCTTACAGGAATTCAGTTTTATCTTATCTATCGCGTGTTCCGTTTGATTAGAATTTAACATTCTCAGCAAACCACCTGTCAGCTTTATCAGAGAATGAAGAAACTGGAAATGTTCAACCAACTGAATAGAGAAATTCAAACAGAAATGTGGGTCAACTTAGTTCCTATGCTTATAAAATACTTTTGAAAAAGGAAATGTTCACTGATGTACAAATAATTAATATCACCATTATACATGGCAACACATCAAGTTATCCCACGACTGCGTTGCTGTGTATTCGGCTCAAAGTTAATATATTAAGTGAGTTGGAATACGCCGATAACAATTACAAAATAATTGAAAAAAAAAAAAAAAACCTTGACCTAATGAATATGATTTCAGGCACTTGAACAATTTTTAACAGCTCATGCACATATAGGCCAGTTCCCCCACATCGTACCATATGAAGTCCGGCCTGAAGTGAAGAAGTTAAAAAAGAATAAGACCGCAGAGTGTCTTGCCGGTTCTTCTCTGGGCATGAAGAGCAATTTGAAGTGCTCTAAAGTTTGGGATTACGAGTGAGATATCCAGTTTCGTCAATGGTTTGCAAAACTCCTATAACATCTATTATAGTTTGAACGACAATAGACAGCGGTCCTTACTTTTACAGATCCAAACTGCCCAGTGCCCAGTCAGGTACGTAAAATAAAATTAAGTTCTTTTTTTTATTGAACCTGATTTAGATTATACTTCACAAATTCAATCTAATCGCAAAATTAGTCATCAATAGATAATTTTCGGTTGACTCACACTCAGAGGTCGCGAAACGGAAACAATGCCTCATTATTTTCTCACTTGAAATTCATCGACCGTATAACATTTTTAGTTACGGCGCATATTCAAAGATTATGTATGATTTACAATACAGTCACCAGACGTGAATGTTGTTGTGTTTGATACAATGGAAGATATGATAAATGCGAATGTTTGTTTGTGTGTTCTTTACCTAGTCACGCGACAATTTGTACGCTGGACTGACTCTTAGAATACTAGTGTGTCCCTACTTCATTAAAATCAGGCAACGCATCTTCAAATCTACGGGTGGAGTTAACGTTCATGAGCGCCGTTAACATCAGGTGAAGCTTGCTTGTCATAAAAAAAATCATAATTTGTTTCCACCTACGTATGGTGAGGTAAACACAAAATCAGTACCCAGTACACATCAGTAGAAAGCGATACGTACAAACAAAATACCACGTTTTACGTTTATGTAAAATTCTGGTTTTGAATAGTTTTCCAAACTTCAATAGAAAGATGTTGTCATGGGTAAATATATTCGTCAGTTAACTAATTTTGATTAATCCAAAGAACTACTTCAGATTTTCAATTTCAAAGATTTAAAATTTTGGACACAACAAACTGAGCAGCAGTTCTTCTTATGACGTCGGCCTTTAAAATTTTAGTCTACTAATTATCTAAAATTGACTAAAATAGTCTATACCTACCGGTCAAGGCTTCAGGGCTTTGGTATTAATCCAGTACAAGCTGTAGTCCAGAGATTCTAAAATTGTCTAAGATAACCTCAATCACGATGAGGCTTCAGGGCCATGGATCCACTGCTAATAATCTAAAATAATCTAAAATAGTCTAATCACATCTTCCGGTCTTCTTCGAGGCGGTAATACTGATAGAGTAGAAGCTTTGGCCCAGTGGTTCTCAGCGTTTCTTAGCATTACTTACGTCGAAAAAGTGCGGCCTCAATCTTCCTATGACGTACTTCGCGGCGTTCACGAAGAGCTGCTGGCAGGCGGCGCCGAAAGTGTAGATGCCGATGGTGACGTAACTCTCCCACGCCCAGCCGGGCACTAGAGTGCCAGAGACGAACTTTTCGCCAATGCCCCTCCCTTGCTTGTCGCGGACTATCTCGGTCAACACAACCTTGAAAGCAATATACAACATAATTTAACTTGTGTTTTTGAACAGGACCACAAAGTGCTCACCAATGCCTTTAATGTCAACGCCTATATCAACAGCATCAGTAGGAGCCCCTCCAAAACAAATTTAATTTGCCGTGGCTAGAGGGAAGACCAATGAAACTATTTAACCGGACCCTATTGTGTTATATTACTTCAAGAATATAGGCAAGTCAATTTGTCTAGCCCGCTGTCGACTGGAAATCGGATGCTAGTTTCATAAATTAAAACGCAATCTCGGCCGTTTGTTTATTGTGGAACTCGTCGAAACTATCAACTATCAGCATTTAGTTTTGCGATAAGATTTCGACCGCAACGCTGGTAACGGAACTGGTTAACTATATCATAAATAACAAACCGAATGCGTCAATATTTTAGTACACGGATAAAAATTTGCACGGCTCGAAGCTACGGCAAACATTCACTTACCGCGATAATAATGAAAGCGAAGCCGAGGCCTGCCAGCAAGCCCTCGGATATCTGCTGCTTCTTGTATGGCAGCCTTAGCGTCTCGTCATTCTCGAAATAGCCTCTCTGGTATGGCTCCGCCCATAACAATAACGCGAGGAGAGGAAACGCCACTGAAACACGTAACAGAGAATGATTTCTAAATAAAGATGACGCGTGGCCATATTGTGCGGCGTTAAAAAATTGTCCGCTTTACATTATATGACACTAGCGACGTGCTATAATAATAATAATATCTTTATTTGCCATTGAACTGGGTATTTAACAAGATGACAAAATATAGCGTTTCGAACTCCAAGTTCAGCCATTACAAATAGCATGCAAATATTATCAGTTACAGCTAATATCAAAGTAATAATATATTAGTCAAAATAAGTATATCAATGTCAATAACAATACTAATTAACACTCTTTGTAGTTCATAAAATCCCTAACTGAATAAAACGTGTGTTCTAGAAGCCATTGGCTGAGACTTTTTTTAAAAGTATGATATGGTTGGCTTTTTATTGGGTGAGGCAATTTATTGTAAACTGTTGTGTGTATTATACATATAAACCTTCCTCTTGAATCAATCTATCTAGTAAAAGAAACCGCATCAAGATCCGTTGCGTAGTTTTGAAGATCTAAGCAGACAGCGGGAGGATTTGTTTTATACTATGTAGTAATGATATAGAAAGAGGTAGCAGTAATTCGAGTGCCTAAGTTTCGGTGAGCTAGTGTCATATATGCCTCGTAATTGTATATAGTATCATTGATTAAAAGCGGCGAAATCAAACGAAGCTACGATCTATATATTCTGAATGTGGACGTCAACTAAATCGAAAAGTGTGCCGAGCTAAAAGTTCCACGAACACGATACAATGCTGAATACAATGCTGTTACTCATGAAAAGTTTTAAGGAATATCCATAATAGCATGTCTTCAAGCGTTTAAAAATTGGTCCACTTTACATTTTATGACATATAAATGAATGTGACAGATGATATAGAACGTATGATACGGAAAGATCTATTTTAATAGAATGCCGAAAATAAATAGTGTGGTCACTAGTTATAATTAAAACTGACAAACGTTCGGTGCGTTATAGTATTATATACAAGTATTATAGTATATAAGTATTATATAAGTATATAAGTAGGTAATCTATGACTACAAATAGCTAATAACGTAATGTCCTGGTTTATTTAAAGATAATCAATATAACCGAATGGCTGAAATTAAGTCGTTAGAGTTAAGGCCCATTTACACGATGCCATTTTCTTGTACATAATAGCAATAATTGAATGCAATAAATTGCGCGCAATAATTGACCATCAAGAATTGTAAGCAACAGTTTACACGCAGATATAGTGAAAAAAATTGAATGCGATTATTGTATGCAAGTCTTGACAAGAAATAATTGCAAATGTCTTTTGTTTACACCAATGCAATTATGTTTAGGCGATTATTGCTTTCAAGTTTTGACTTGTCTAAACACATGCTTGTATGTGCGTGTACAATTTATTGGCGTGTTGCTTCAAGTATTGCACGTATTTGCGTTGACAAATATTTCGTTCAAGTGTTGAACGTTCTGAAAAGGGCTGTTTATTTTAAAAAAAATGGGTCAAAGATAAGTGTTCAAGTTAGATTATGCAGATTTAATATATTTCATTGAGATTTATTTATTATTGTCCATATATTATTATTCATTTTATCGTCCAACTTTTTTTACGACCTTTTCTCAATATTTCTTGCCTCAAAAGAACAGCAACGATTAAACACCGTCACTCATCGCACTCATGTTTGCAAAGGAAGAGGGAATGCAATTGAATACAAGAATTGCTTAAGAAATTATTGTGTGTGCTGTTTACACCAAGGAAAGTTTTGAAACAAAACTTGAAGCAAGTCTTGTTCAACAGTCAAGAATGTTATGTGTTGTTTAGACCATGCAACTCATTTATTGCTTCAATTTAATTGTATACAACAGGCAAGAAACTGGCACCGTGTAAATGGGCCTTTAAACATGCGTATGACTGCATAACAAATAAACTGGTTAAGAAAAGTAAGAGATTAAAAACTTTATCGTATTAAAAAAAAGATTTTTTGACTACATTTTATATCGTATTGGCATAATGGTACTTTCTGGTTTTTATATAACTTGTCTCAGTTGAAAACGAACATAACTATTGGAATACTTTTGCAGATATTGACTTTGGGCGAAGCCAATATTGGCGCAGGTCAAAAGACCCAGACAGTGTTGATTCAAACGCTATTAATATAATTTCTGAATAGACGATAACATCCTGTTTATCGCTTCAATAGGAACTTCCTCTTCATACAACGATAACGCTAATCAAACGAACCAAACGATAGGCCATAATCCATTCTGTGCGCTTTGCTTTAGATTAATGCGTAGGCATATACATACCATATACTTATATGTACACGTTAATACCCTCTTCTGGCATATAAATGAGTTCTCATTTTATTTTTTACTACCCACCAGTCCCAGTATTGCTAATTATCCAAGATAATTTTGAACAAAAAGAAACTGACTTCAAAGAGGAAACTAAAAACATTGTCAACAGAGGATTGCCCTCGATTTGTCTGGGATACCATCATCAGATCCGGGTTTCCTTATCATGGTACCACCCTTGGGATATCTCCTTTCTAACAAAAAAAGAATCATCAAAATCGGTTCATGAATGACGAAGTTATCCGCGAGCACACATAAAAAAAAATAAAAATATATACGGTCGAATTGAGAAACCTCCTTATTTTTGAAGTCGGTTAAAAACCTCCTTCTTTTTTGAATTCGGTTAAAAATAATATTGTTCCCATTACTACCACTCTCTACACAGGATCGGAAATTTTCAGCCAATCTTCAGATCAACCCACTGACTTTGAATCGGAAAATTTCATCAAAATCGGTCTCACCGCTTTGGCCTTTGAAGGAAACTTGCTCAGATCCATTTGTATACATATATATTATTGTTGTTTTTTATTTTATCATATTTTTATGATTATATTTTATTTTATTATAAAGTGTAGATACGATTGTGGTTGGATTGCACCGCTCTGCAGCATCATAAGTGGGTGTCCGCCGAACACAGAAGAGCAGTGAGAAGTAGAAGTACCACCCTTTTGCGTTTCGTCCGAGGTGTAGTGTTTAAATTGGGGTCCACCACTGTTAAGGGCTGGCAACTTTTTTGAGACGATAATCACATAACATAATTTGAACCGTCAACTCGTTTGTCACACTCTCTCGCAATTAAATAAATAAATATTTTAAAAATGGCGTACTAACATGCTTTAATTTAAAAGTTTTATTATATAAGGTAACGATTACACAGTAACGATTCCAAAGTAATATTTCAATATGTATCACTTCGTAATCATTCAAAATGGATTTACCATAATTGCGTATTCAGTACCGTTAGAAACATTTAAGATGTTAACAAGTTTTTTAATGTAAGCCAACGGTTATTTTTAATGTAAGCAATAAATTTTTAATGTTATCTAACTGTGGCAGGGCCAAGCAGCAGCCTCGGCTGTTGCACGAACGGGCAGGCTATTCCGGGTGAGTAACGGCACCTTACAGAAGACCGGCGTAAAGTGGATGTGTAACAAATACTTTGGCGTTTCGTCTGGTGAATGAGGTAGCCGGAGCCCAATCTTAAAAGGTTATCAACGCATCTGTAAACCTGGGGTGTAGCAGATGTCCATGGGCGGCGGTATGCACTTAACATTAGGTGAACCGCCTGCTCGCTTGGAAAGTTTTCACATTAAAAAAAACCGTCGATGGTTAACACGCCTGCGATTAATATTTCTTTTCTTTATTTATAATCAAATTATTTTGACGCTAGTTACTCACTTGTAGTACTTTTTATGTACATCGAGAATATTTCCCACAATGTGTCCCACTGCTAGACAGAGGTCTGTACATAGGTTGATAGGCCATAGTTCACCACGAGGCCACGAATTGACGAACTTATATATATATTATTAATATTTTCAAAATATTATATGTTTCCCTTCACCATTGAGCCCGTGATAAGATCTTATAGTTAACAATTCATGGTGCCGGCACCGGGGATTGAACCAGGTCGATCGAGCATATTCGGACACAATGAGCCATATGGTAGGGCCACGCAACAGTCTTAGCTGTTGTACGAATGGGCGGGTCCGTTCCGACCGTATGTATTATGTGAAACGGGCGGTCCGTACGTTTCACATAAAGTAAACGCGTAAACGGGTAAAACATAAAAACGTTTTCGTTCGTCACAAGTTCAGTGTGGCCGTTTGTACTCACTAAGGGGCATTTCGAAGAACCGTCACGCTACGAGTTCCTATTGTTAATCTCCGTGAAGTTAAGGTTACAGCAACGCGTTGTTAGCAAAGACCGTCGACTGCGCGGGAGCTGTCGTAAACAAGGTCGCGTATTACCCAAATGACTTATACCATCAACGCTTCAGGAACCTTATTGCCTTATTGCCTCAGGCGACAGGTGGTAACCTTGGAATGAGACGATAACGACTTCTTTAATTAGCCCGAATACTATACATTGCTAATAAAACTTTCGTTCGGATTTTATTGAGTTTGATTTGCTTTTAAGTTCGACGTTTCGAACACTACAGCAACCGTTGTCAAGGGTGAGTCAGTGAGACAACGGTTATTCCACTCAAGATATTCTAATATTGCAACATGCCTTTTGCATCTGAGCCTGTAACCGTAAGCATGGTTTTGACAACCAAACCACCGACGCTTATGTATATCGTATAAATCGATGCCTCTTCGCCCGGCCACATACATTCTTAACACAGTTTATTACAGTAGTCTTATCTCGTTAGTTTCGATGGACTGTGTGAATACGTCTTGGAACGAGGTGAGTTTGAGATGATAGCTGACGGTCATGGTGTGCCGACACAACCTTTTTTTGGTATCGGGGGGAAATCTTCAAAAGATACCCTGTCACCTTACATGACAGGGTTATGTGGGCCTCTACCCATTAAAATTCCCTCGGTGGCTACCTTCTGTACGTTTGGAAAGACTCCGGGATCTCCCTCGGAACGCCTCGGAGAAGGGTAAGTCTTCGTGATAACCACTTCGTGCTGCTGCCAATCCCTGCCCCTTTTAGTCGCCTTTTACGACAGTCAGTGGATACCTTAGCCCTATTCTGTTCCTATACTGTCCCTATGCCGCCAATCCCTGCCCCTTTTACGACAATCAGTGGATACCTTAGCCCTATTCTGTTCCTATACTGTCCCTATGCCGCCAATCCCTGCCCCTTTTAGTCGCCTTTTACGACAGGCAGTGGATACCTTAGCCCTATTCTGTTCCTATACTGTCCCTATACCGCCAATCCCTGCCCCTTTTAGTCGCCTTTTACGACAGTCAGTGGATACCTTAGCCCTATTCTGTTCCTATACTGTCCCTATGCCACCAATCCCTGCCCCTTTTAGTCGCCTTTTACGACAGTCAGTGGATACCTTAGCCCTATTCTGTTCCTATACTGTCCCTATGCCGCCAATCCCTGCCCCTTTTGGTCGCCTTTTATGACAGGTGGGATGCCGACACCCCTATTTTGGTTCCTATACTGTCCCTATGCCGCCAATCCCTGCCCCTTTTAGTCGCCTTTTACGACAGTCAGTGGATACCTTAGCCCTATTCTGTTCCTATACTGTCCCTATGCCGCCAATCCCTGCCCCTTTTAGTCGCCTTTTACGACAGTCAGTGGATACCTTAGCCCTATTCGGTACTGCGCGTGAGCACGCCTCGGAGAATCATAAACCTTCGTGATGACCACTTCGTGCTGCTGCCAATCCCTGCCCCTTTTAGTCGCTTTTTACGACAGGCAGTGGATACCTTAGCTCTATTCTGCGCCGACACCACCTAGTGTGGGCGAAGGACAGGAAAAGCATCTGTCAGCTCCTTTTTTTTTTGAGAAGGTGGCGGTTCCCCTGATGTTAAGTGATAACCGCAGCCCATGGACTTTTGCAACACCCTTAGGGTTGCAGATGCGTTGCCACCTTTTAATAAAACGGGTCCCGGCTACCACACTCACCAGACCAAACGCAGAAGTATAATCGCACTTCACGCCGGTCTTCTGTGAAATTCTTACCAAGACGGACCATTCAGTGCAACAGCCGAAGCTTTTCTAATTCGAAAAGTCAGTACTTTGATTAAACTAATCGCAGCATGAGATGATCGAAGCAGTGCTGCTGCTGTTGATAGAAACATTAGCAATGGAATGAACAAACGATGGAAAATGCGAGAATATATCATGACATCGCAAATCTAAATATTTCCATCTATATACACAAAGGCATGAGGTCTGATTTTATACTCTCCGTTCTCGGTCTAAGCAATGGTTAACGAATGTTTTAATTTAAAACTTCCGACGTTAGTAAAATATTGCCGTTATAAGCCCACTTACAGAGACGACAATAAGGAATTAATAACTTCATTTGATTGCAAAGCGGATTCTTTACTAATAAGTTTTTTTACGCTAATTGAGGTCTTTAACGTTGTTATATTTTAAAATTTCTGCTTTTTCACTAGTAAACAAATTATTACGTTTGTAAGGTAAAAATGTTAAACTTGTTATGAAATAGTATATCGATTGATGAATTAAAATCGAAATCGGTCAATGCCGCCCGTGCGTGGAATGCATTGGAATGCAATTCGCAATTCTGTTTCGTGTTTTAATATTCTTTGTTCTATGTTTTATTACGCAACTTCCTTTGCCAAGATAACGTTTCTCGGAGTAATTTAACGGTTGCCGATTACAAATCTACGATCAAGGTTGTATTTCTCGCGCAAGTAGAGGTTTCGCATTACGGCAGCGCTCCAGTTTATTATTTTTCTGTTCAAAATGGCAATAAGTTGTAGACGTTTTAATCTGTATGATAGACGAACGGTGTATTCGTTTGCAGTCTTGTCACGAAAGATTCATTCTTAATCGGTGAAAATTTATGCGGTTGCGGTTCTCAATTGAGATCCGTTTATTTTAAAAGTATGGCAGCTCGCTTAACCCGATAGTAGCAATTGCCCTTATGGAACCCGTAATGTATATGTATTTTGTGTGGGTAGAAGTCCCAACAACCACTGTGACCTTGAAAAATCCATTGTAGTCTTCCTTTCGAAAACATCGTCCTCTTAATGTAGGTTAACATTATCCTGTGTTTAAGGATGGTAAAACGAATATATATATATAAATTTATATATATAAATTTGACGTGGAAAAACATCCAGCACCAAAACAACTATCTGTCGGTCACATAAATAGTTGTCTCGTGTGAGAAGCGAACCCACTACCTCCAGCACCGACTACAATATTTTGCCACTTGCGCCACGGAGTCACCTCGTAACACCAGAGAACCACAGTGTGCGTAAGGCCATACCTCGTCAGGCGAAATTCGAGTATTTTTAACTATTATTATATAATAACATTACTAAAGACATTACTTATTTTATATCAAAATATCGGTAATACGGTAATAGTTCAACTTTTAGTGTGCAAGGGCGTGATGGCACGCCCGGTTGCGCTGTCACTATCCCACAGTTGAGAATAACATCAATACGCTTTTCTCTTCTTGAAGCTCCCTATCGAAATCGGATCAAAATAAAATCGGTAATAGGTCGAACAAACTTTTATGGATATCACACAATGTGCAATGGTCTTGCACCTAAAAATTTTTTTAATAATATTAATTTTTAATAATTTTTATCAAAAACGAATAAAACGTTGCCCACAACCAGTTAAAATCTTTAACATCGCTGATGAACGCTGCTAAATCGATAAATAATTCAAAAACTAAAAGGACTAAAATATCCAACTGTGGTACGAAATTTTTTGAAAATACATTTTGCCGCCAAGATTTTTTTGTTGTTATTTTAGTATTTGACATTCGGACTTGTGCAATAGTTTATACATAATGTAAATAAATAAGATTCATTAAAACAGTTAAGCCATTTTATAGTTACGAGGGAACATAGAGGCGAACATAATTACATATGGGTCAAACACATAAACGTCCTTTTTTAGTTTCACCGCAGTCGGGTAAAAATAAAATATTATACGCGATAGTAAATCAAATTTCACTTTTAAATTATTTAATTATATTATTTAATACACATGGCCAGCTTATTCTACAAAAAAAAACGTGAAATACTTCCCTTTACCCGCTTTTAAAATGATATTGGAAGGTGTACTACTTGTAGAGGTAGAGGTCACTATAAACTGAGCTTCGTAGGCTAAGTTCTACCTACACCTGCTGTTACGTTTGAAGGTAATGTAAACTTATGAGATAAAATTACCCTGCACTACAATTATAATTTAAAAATAAAGAGCGGGCAAATGTTTAATTTTTAAAATACCTTCATTAGCGACCAGGCACAAACATTTCTTTTGAGAAACATAAGGAGTCAGATGTTTAAATTTAAAATATACACAAAAACTCACCACAAGCAAGTACAACGAAATCCAGTATGATCTTCCATATCAATTTGTCAACAGCCATTATGATTTAAAACAATAAATCACCGTTGTTTTAATGTCCATCTACAAATAATGGTGTCATTGACAAAAACACATTTGGAAACTTTATTTTCACTCACTAAATCCAGGAATTTATAAAAACATCCTGTTTACGAAACAAAAACCTGATTGCACCAAATACGTGACGGGCTCGCAGAACGATAAAAAATTAAATGATAAAACTCCCTGATAAAGTGAACAGTCTGTGGTTATACCTTAGTCACACCTTTCGTGTCGTCATAACGAAGAACGTGTGGATTTTACCGCCGATTTCAATGCCATTCGTAAAAACTTATTAAACTTCCAAATTGGCACTTGAGATATTATCACCGTATGGTGAAAGACTGAGAATAGCGCGTTACGGTGACAAAATTCAAGACGAGGGCGTTGAACGGCGAGATGAGTCATTATAAATATTATTTAAGTAATGCAAATATTGTGCAGTGACTTCGATATAGCAATAATGCTAACACTATCTAATTTTTCCGCCATCTATCGACCTCATAACGAAATTATCCATGTGTAGATAAATAAATATCGTTCTAATACTGTATTAAATTTATAGATGGCACTAGTATCATATTAGACTTCTTTAATTCATAAAGAATATGGATTTTGAGTGTCAGTTTTTCAGTTTTAATTTATGTGTTTGACCTAAATTAAAACTGAAAAACTTTCATTTATTAGTGTTAGTAGGGGATATTCATTTGTTTTTTTTTTTTAGTATTTTTATTATTACTTTTTTTATTACTTTAAATGAGGCAAACGATTTATTAAAAAAAGTTGAATAGAAAGAACTGAAATTTTTTTTTGACATTCGCACAGGGCCGGATTTAGGGGAGCCCTCCCCACCGGGGCAACAGCCCCGGGGCCTCCCCAAACGAGGGGCCCCCACAATAGAAACTTCGGAAAAAAAAATTCAAATTCAGACTAGTAAACAACTTTTCCTTTCATATTTTTTTCGCGTTTTACTTTTACCAAAAGTAGTATAGAAAATAATTTCGGGCCACGGGGCCTCCACTCCTTTGTTACCCCGAGGCCTCCAGACCTCTAAATCTGGCCCTGTTCGCAAGATTTGAGGAAAACCTCAACGTCAGTCAATAAATCGTATAAATGTTATTTTTATTCCAAGCCTTTCTAATACGTTAAATTGATGCCGTAGCGTAACAATCACTATGATAAAATATCGAACCATATCAAAGTAATAATAAAACAACGGGCAACTCTGAACAAATGTTTATTATGCATTTTTAAACATTCTATAACTATAATAATATAATATTTATAATAAATAAGCTGCCAAAATAAATCTACTCTAGGCAGTGCATCGGTGTGATGGCATCTCCATAAGTGTCTTTTGGAATTCAAACGATTTATTACATTTACTTTTTGTAAGCACTTTCTTAGTCCAGACTCTATATGAAAAGGCCACATTTATATAGATATATTACAACTATTGGTACTATCTACAATGTACATTTATAAACTATAAATTTAAAAATTCCAAGAATATAAAGTATGGTCGAATTCTCGAACTACTATTAAGCTAAGCTATGATATGTTCCGAACATCAATTAATTCCGTACAGCTATCGCCGACACAGAAACACACAAACATTCACTTGGTGTTATTTCAAGTTAAGTTTAATGAAATAAATGTTATACATTTATGCAGTTTGCAGAAAAACGTTAAGTAATGATTCCCTGTTTCTTCTCAAATACTGCACGATGAAAAAAAAACATGTATCATTCATTTAATTGTTAAGTGAAATTGTTGCTATAACATGTTTTGAAAATTATTACACGACAGCAACTGACGTCCAAACACCACGGAATTCGCTCCGAACTTTAACAGTAATAATAAATACGTCTATAAATTTAAAATTCAATAAATATGAAGCTACAAATCTATACGCGTTTATAGCACCTTAACACATTACGAAGACCCAGTGCCTATCCTACACAATACATTTGAAACTAAACGAAATATTTTTATGTATTAACAACTCTATATCACAGAATAAAAATACACCGCCCTCCAGTCTTCAAGACTTTGAAGGCTTCAAAAAACGGGCCGTTATAACTAGTATCGTTATAATCTGAACTATGTTGTGACGTCATCAGTTTGAATAAAAACTTTGAGACGTGCAGCCGCACCAATTAATTTAAACATTATTACCTTTATTTATTAGCCAAATGCAGTCTAAAATAAAAATTTAATGCTATAGATGTGAAAGCGATTACTCTGACTTTTAATGTTTAAACATTAATTAATCCATATCTCGAAGTTCTGGGAAGATTGCTTTGTGAAAGGCTATACAATAAACTGATTTTCAAAACATCTACGAAACAAATAACTCCTATTAATTGTTCAATAAACTGCTTTTATGAACAGCGGGTGCATCCTTAAGTAGTTCATAAGTTCAAGTAAGATACAACCATATGACTATCATTTATTTCTTAGTTACACTTATAATTAAAGTTTTATTGCGAAATGTAAACATTTGTCCGAACAACAGAAATCCATCACTAAATCTCTTCCAGTTCATTAAAACACATCCAAATAAATATCAACGGAACCCATACGAGCGAAACTATTTCTTAGTTTAAAAAAAAAAAGAAATAAGCCGAATAACCGGTTAAAAGTTATAGTACTCTACACTTTACGAAACACTTTTACAATTTTAAATACATAGTTAAAAAGCTTACTTTACCAAATGTTAAAAAATTTGTTGATAAGCCACTACCAGTTTTTACTGGTATTTTAAATAAGTTTGACGAGTTTCAATTGTTTCCTTAAAATAATACCTAAAAAGTAATAAAAGTATAAATAAATACAAAGCACTAATTTAAAATAAATAGAGAAAGGAATAAAATTTTCATGCGCATATAAACAGTAATATTTTTTGACCGATTATGTTTGACGTGACTTAAAAAATATGTAATAGCAAAAAAACTCATGTCGCAAATTGGAAAATTACTATACATCAATGAACATAGTTGTTACAACAACTAAAGCTTTTATTTGCAGCACGAAACTATAAATTGAGCCATAAAAGAGTCACTGTTATTGTAAATTTTTTTTTTACATTAATTAAAATAAAATAAAGACAAGGTACAACAGTTATGACGTAAATACCTATGCTATAAATTGCTTAAGGGCTCTTTGCCCATTTTAAGGTATATAATAACCTTAAGGTATGCATAAAAAAAAAGTAAAGTAAAGTAACAGCCTATACATGTCCCACTGCTGGGCAAAGGCCTCCTCTATACAGAGGGTATCAGGGCATAGTCCACTATACTTCACATATCTTCGAAATATATATTCCTAAAAATATGAACGATGTTTTCCTTCACTTGATAAGTTAGCACTTAAAGTTAAAAACTTCATTGGTGCCGGCACCGGGGATCGAACTCAGGTTCAGTATATACACGACGCCCGGACACTGAGCTATCACGGTATGCATATTGCTACTATATAAATATGTATTCCTAAAAGAACCAACTTAATATGTTGCCGTGAACATTCAATATACACACTCCTATTTATATAATACTAAAATAAACACAAAATTATGTATGTGTGTTCGTTAAATGCGCTTCTAATAACATTGCACGTTTAATTGTGAAAAATAGTAACTTCCTTTACATACATACATTAGGGTATAAAGACGTGATGCATAAAGACTGCTACAAATATATCATTTGTATCTCTACGCGAGAGACCAGTTAGGTAAAACTAGCATCTTCATTTGTATACTCTATACACAATAAAGTAAAGTTCATTCTGGAACTAGCTAAAGAAAGAAAAACCGCGAAAAACTTCGAGCTTTAAATAGCAATGAGACATTTTGAAGCTTTTACATAAACATTTTTCTTAAAACACGTATAAATACGATTTAAATAAATAAAATTTCCAAGACACCTGTTCGTTAAACCACAAAAAATTTCTTCGATAAAACGCAATATTAAATCTATAACATCTGTCACAGATTATACTTACTCAACAAAGTTAGAATATAAAAACAAAGCTTGTTAATGCTATCTTAAAATTATAAACTTGCATATCAATCCCTGATACATTTTGCTATTAAAAATAGATTAAAAGGATATATAAAAGATAGATAATTTTTATAAGTAGACTATGAAATAATACATACTACATAAACTATGGTAATTAGATCTAACTCATACATAATCATTCCATCTCGAATCTAACACTTTTTACATAAATGCATAAGATACAATATTGGAGAATAAACGTTTTTGTTTATATAACTCTCATACAACTTCAAATATACTTATATATGTATACTATATTTATGACCAATACATACGAAAACGACAGCCATTGGCAAGTAATGCGCAATGGTCGCGACAGTACGCGACAATTCCCGAGACTGTACTTGCACAAAAGCGAGTAATGTCCCGTGTTTCCTCGGCAGCACCAATACATCGTCTACGTGACAGTACACACATTCACCCAACGACCGTACACTAAAGCGTCCAATATCGGCGACTGTACACTGACTGTACTGTCACCGATAGCGACTGTACGCGCACGATGGCGTCCAATATCGGCGACTGTACGCGATTGTACGCGCACTGTGGCGTCCGAAATCGGCGACTGTACGCGACTGTACGCGCACTCAAGCGTCCGACGCGCGAGCTAGTTACGCAGCTGTGCACTTAGCTGTCCATCGGCGCGTACTCGTGGGAGATCCACGAGACGTTGGGCACGGGTCAGGGGTGCTCGTCGGCGGGCGGCAGCGGCCCGTCGCCTAGTCACACCTGCCAGCCGCCCGGCGAGCGGGCCCCCCCGTTGGTGGCGTGCAGCTCGTTGTTGTGCACGGTGAGCTGGCGGCGCGGCGTCTTGCGCAGGTCGGACACGAACACGTACTGAGGGAGGGGTTGGGTTTTATGAGTCGAGTGATTTTGAGTGATCACCGCAGCTCATGGGCGTCTACAACACCCGATAGGTGGTCGTCATGCCGAGCTTTAAAAGTTACCTCACTCACCCACTGACGAAACGCAGAAGTATAACACGGCATACTGCGGGATGAGTTGGGTTTTGTGTAAATGTTGTGTAGTCAAATATTCATATGTCTATATTTCACGATCTCCATCCCAGGCGCAGTTGCTAAGCTTTTGGCTTCGGTGCCGGGAGTCGTGGGTTCAACTTCCACACGGGACAATTGTCTGTTCCGTATGACGGTTAATAACACTCAAGTGTTGATGGTCAGGCCGGTCATAAAATGTAGCCAATACCAATGATAAGATAAGTCGCGTGTGCCAACCCCACTTAGGTTGGATAAGGGCAGGAGGATTAAGAATCCCAGCATTGTTCAATTAGAAGCCGTCGAGTGGAAAGTCAGGGATTTTCGTGGTTTGTATGTACGATGATAACGCTGGATGCAAGACTTAATTTTTCTTTTTTATTTATTGGAGAATGACTTTATGGGGTGATATTTTTGGTCCTTAGTCCGGGTACTGTGTAAATATCCATCAGTCACGGCCCGCGGTGCGCGTTTAACGACCAATCAAGCTATACATAGTGCACAAGACTGTAAGCGGAAGCGACTTTAAAATAAGGATTAAATAACGTCACGTTTTAGTGACGGCTTTAAAATTTTGACGAAAATATAAGATAGGATTTTTTTAATATTATATTGGTGCGATCTCAAAACATGCGAAGAAATTTATAACGTGTTAGTATTATTTAATCGGATTTTATGAACTGTGCCGTGAACTCCCGACCACGGAAATAGTGCGCTTAATTGTAATGGCACATCTGCCAAGCATTGCATTTTTAGCAATGCTTGGCATGTAGTGCATACTTTACAGTATGTACGACCTATATTTGTCGTTAGCTTCGTTGGTAAACAACTAGGCGCGATACTGGAAGAAGCAAGTTCAATACCCGCCGTGCCGTGTTATATAGTTCATTAATCTACAAACAATCACACAAAATCTCAACTTGAGTGCAGAGACTAGCGTCAAAAATAAACATTAATTAAACCAGTGAGCTGCGAGTGGAGTGATGTTTGGTCAACGAATCGAATCTCACCACTATGATGGCGAAGATCAGGCCGATGCTGAAGCCGGCGAGCACGTCGCTCCAGTGGTGTTTGTAGTCCGACACCCTGGTCATGACGGTGTACCAGCCATCATGAGCAGCAGGAACTGGATCCCGTGGCGCAGCAGCTTTGAGCCGCGCCAGGTGAAGCGCTTTTGCAGGTACAGCTGGAACAAAACTCACCACTTAACTCACCGTTCGTGCCAAAGTCAAATTTCATATATTTCCTTCGAATCGTAGAGAGAAGAAGAAAACCTTTGATGACGACAGTTTTAAAAAGGAGTGTATTAGTAGTATTTTGCATAATCTTTTAAAACAATTTGTTGTTGGCTCTGAATTCAGTCTTGTGTTATTGGACCTTGGACTTCGGAATCTACATCATAGAATTTCTCAAAATCAGAATATGTATCCATCGACTTCCCGCACATTTGCATAGGTCGTCACTCCATCTAGTGGGGGGGTTGTCCTACACTGCAATGGCCAATGTTAAGCTACCACACATTACGACAAAATCGTGTTGGATGGACCGATAGCCTCTTTGCCATTTCAGCCTGTTTGAGTCCACAGCTGGTCTCTCTCAGACTGCCAAGAAGCACGATCCTGATGCATCCATCGACTTTCCCGCATACTTACATAGGTCGTCGGACCAACCAATACGAGGCCGCCACTCGAGAACCTTTCTTCCTCATCGGTGATCGATTCTTCGAGCTCTATGCATATCCGTCGCCGCAAACTCACCGCGAAATAGACCATGGTGTAAGCGGAGAACGAAGAGTGGCCGCTTGGGAAAGAGAGGCGCATTTCCTTCAGCAGTTTGGGGTCCCTCTCCAGGCACGTGAAGGTCTCGATGTACCGCCATTTGTTGTCCGGTAGGGTGCAATCGATGTCCGGCTTGCACACCTGGAAAAAGAAAACGGTTCTTTTAGCAAGCGAAAACGATAAAAGCATGAGACGCCTACTCTTACTTATAAGCCTAATATTTAACTTCTGAGGAAGCTGTGTAAGTTGCATTTCATAATAATTTCCGAATGTGGTCAACCAAAGTATAAGCTCAATTTATATATGGTTCTTCAATTATAGATGGCATCGCTTGTAAAAAAAACTTAAGTACTTAACGAAAATACTATCTAAAAATATCATATGGTGAGATCATACAGATGATAAAATATAATTTGAAAACTGTTGTGTCTAATTTTAGACGATGTAGTGTTCTTAAATGGAGAAATATTTCAAAAATTTACTAAATTTTATAAATTGCTGCTTGTTTATAGTTACCAATAGTAATTTTTTCAAAGTCATTATTTATGACCATAAGATAGAGATAAAGGCATTAAACCCGAGCTTAGTTTTATTTTTACACTGGCGATCAGTTTAACTCGTACAAAGTAACTATTTCCAGTGCTAGTTGGCACGCAAGTTCCTACTATCACGGCGTTCGCACCTCGTCCGAGTACATTATGCAAATACGTTAGATAGAATGTAAATAAGGCGGTTTATTTGAAGCCCGCATACCGCCCTTCTTCCTGCGACTCGATACCGTGGGACCCTGATGGACCACCTCTAGCCGAAGAATTTAACCGGAACACATCAATGCAACAAGCGCTATGGGGGATGTCAGCGGATCTATGTTTACGCATCTGCTATATTTTCAACTCGTTAATGTAATTAGGGTAGATTGCCCAATGAATGAATTAAAATGAATGAATGAATGAAATATACTTTATAGTACATTGCAAATTATATTGAATAATCCCGATCTTAAATCCAAGAGCGACAAGCGAGACCAAATTCGTTATTCATCGAGGTATTCCTTCATTCTATGCTTAGGGTATGTTATATACCGCTCGTTGACGTTCCAACTTTTAAATAAACCTTTAAAATAAAACAGTTTCCAAAGCCTAAATATTAAATTTAAATCCAGTATTCGATCTCCCAAAGCGGCAATTGCGATTTTTATATTGTCTACGAAAATAATCGATTCGACGTTGCTACAAAAAATGCGCATAATAAACGAGTTTTCATGGAGTTACATCAATCGATAGTTTGTTTGCTTACCCCGCGGCTCTGTTATTATGTCTGCGATAATTCTGCACGCCTTTTTGCCTTATAAGCACGTCAATCATCCAATCAAGCGGTGGCGCTCATTCGCCTTTCGAGAACATGTTTTATGCAGTGATTGTGGTGGCAAAATGGCAAGTCATGAATTTGGGACATACAGTTAAGCCTAGATATTGGTTGGAATTATTAATAGGCCATTTTTGTAGTGTATTTAGTAAGTACGTAATTTTTAAGTACGTAATTTTTTTTACATTCAGTAGAGCAAACCTTGCTCGATTCCTTTTTGATATTTTTGTAATCCCGTTTCAATTTGATTGTTGATTCATTTTACTTATCAAGTTAGGTATAAATTGCTGGACGTTTTATACTCAAGTTTTTCTACGCTGCTGCGTAAATTCGAAAAATTGTGCTCTGTAAATTCAGCTATTTCTGACTGATGTAGATCAGTCAGAAATAGCTGAATTTACAGAGCTCAATCAATTATGTAAAATTGTTTCTTTTGCTCACATCTATAGCAACACTTTAAAAAACATTAAAACGTCCCTAAACTTGACTCGTGAATTGTGATGTACGATATTAGTTTATCGGTTCGTAGATATAAAGCGTCATCGAGCACAGGGCCAACGGAAAGACTAGGCTTCCATGAATTCTATTCAGAGGACATCGATTCTGTGTTTTGTTGGCTGGGACCGGTGTGAAATGGCCCTGGAACGAAGAATGAATATGTGAGAATTGAATTTTCCAATGATATTCCCTTTGTCCGTCCGTAACAAATATACAGTGCTCACAGAATTGCGGGCGGTTCGCACACTCGTAGGGGAAAGCCTACGCACCGCTTCGCATTGAATTCGCGTGCCACCGCATCGAATCGCCTTCGAATCGCGTTCGCTTTGAACTGCCTGCGTTAGACGCCGCAAGTTTTACTGTCCACATAGGCGAGAGCGAAGTACATAGCAAAGGAATTATACAGCGAATTTCATAATGTATTCATTAGCTACAGTATTATAGGTTAACGCTGCGTGCTTTTTTACCTGTAATCTCCGTTTGGGAATTATCCTAAAGTGCTGGAACGAAGGTTGAACCTTGCGGTACCCGATAATTGCACATTATTCGAGGGCTTCTTGCGGAAAATTGCGGCCGATAACGGCTCGTTTCGTTTATAAACTGGTAAAATGTTTATTTTTCATCTTTTGCATACTAAAGCGACCCTATAATTTAGTGATTATACACCAAGCTGAAGCCCGAACGTCGGAAGGTAAGTTATTTTAATGAAACGGTTGGCTCCGTGGCTAAGTGACTGCAGTTGGCATAGTGGTCCAAGGTTCAAACTCAAATATATATTAATTATGCTATGGAAAATAAATATTCCGTATAACTTTTAAAAGGGATCATGTCAAGAAAAAGGAGTGAAATTAAAAACATCACTGCATAATAAAATAAAAGTAGGAAAATATGTAGACGTGAAATTTTAGTAACTTTAATTAAAAAACGAGATTCAATGTATGCGAAAAAGAGTTAGAGAAAGAGTTTGGAAGTATACAAAAATGAACGAAACGCTAATTATTTAAAATAAAAAAAATATTGCCTTATAGTAGTCGCATATGATGTGTAAGATCAGAATCAGTAGTAGCATTACCTCCTGAAAATTTATTCAGGTATTATTTTCAATGATTTTTCATAAGGGCAATAAAGACATTCATTCATTCATTCATTCATTAAGGAGAACTTCCTGTTACAAACTTCAGCCTTTTCACGGAAGAAAAAATCACTACCTACCACATATTGCAAGAAACTAGAGGGAAGATGAAGGAGCCGTGATAGCTCAGGGTCCGGGCGCCCGCCTTTAATTGAATATACTGCAACATGAGTTCGATCCCCGGTGCTGGCACCAAAGAAATTGTTAATTTCAACTGCTGAATTATCACGTACTCAGCGGTGAAGGAAAACATCGTGAGGAAACCTGCATATTTTCGAAAAAATAACAAAAAAAAATATTTCGAAGATATGTGAAGTCCGCCAATTCGCAGTGGGGCCGCGTGGTGGATTATGACCATCTGTACACAGGAGCCCTGATACTTTACTTTACTTTACTTAGAAGGAAGATGTTACACATGAAAAAATGTTTTTGGTGTAAATGTTATTGTCGAGGTTATAAAAGAGGAGCTATTTGAAATGTTTTAAAAACAAGAGATCATAAATAACTACACAGTGTATTTTTAAGTCTTAAACAAACACACAAGTTCAAAGATAATAAATACCTAGCTTAAACAAAAGTACATTAACAAAGCCAAACAGATCGAAAACTCCAAACAAATACTCTTTAATCTTAAATTCTGAAAAGCACTCTGCTTTCGATATAAGTATTTAATGAACTGCCACTATTAAACAATCATAATAAGACATTGAAAACTATGTATACAACACATCTTTCGTATTATAATCGTTGTTTAAATATGGCGATGTGATTATGGCGACAACTTTTCAACGTATGTTCGCCCAGGTCAGGTTTTAAGGGGAGTTTCCATACAGATTCGGATTTGCATTAATAAAATAAATAAGTATAAAATTGTACAAAGATTTTATTAAAACTTGTACCGAGGTTTCATTTAATTTACTTACTTACCTGACCTTATTTCCATACACAAATGATACTGGCGTGCAATATGCGATATAAAAATTCGTTATTTGTAAGCCTTGAAATTTAAAAGGTAAAAATTCAAATTTTGAAATTGTCAAGAAGCGTGACATATGTTTTATCTGCCATGCCGGTTTTGGCTGTATTGTTGGAAAATTGTATTGTAAGAAGTATTCTAAGGGTTTGAAATATTTAATGCCTGTAACGAATTTGTAAAATGGCTATGGAAAGTCACCAATACACGTTGACCAAACATTCTTAGTCTTATTATAGCAATCATTCCTGCCCTTAGATATTAATTCCACAAACATAAATTTTATTCATGTTTATAGGATCTAGTTGCTTGTGTGAAAAGTCAGTTATCAGCTTTAAATAAAATAGAAGATTGGTTTGAAACGCTTATCCTCATTTAGAGTGCTGTGAAGATACATTATACGATATTCGTAATGGTAATCGTGTACATGCATTATTTGCCGAAAGTAATTTTTGTTAATATGCATGGCATTCTATGTGGTTCGATTGGTATTTACTTTTTATCACCAATAATGTTCATATAATTTGACGAAGCAATGAATTTTAAAACATAACTTACAAGTGAAAGTAGTAATAAAACTGGTATCGTGCTCTTCTTCAACACAGAGCGAAATTTAAACAATTTAAATGAGAATTACCTTGGTTTCTGGCTCAAATATGTATGTTATGTAGAAAGTTATATATGAACACTTTACGAATTTCCCTTACGAATTACATAAATTGTAACGAAGTTGTAATTTACTCGTCAACGCAACTCGTTTGTATGGCAGGCAATTTTGAATATCAAAATTCCTTTTTAATAAGTCTTATTCACTTTTCGACTTAAAAGGGTTTATAGAAAGTCTGCTACCATCATTCACCAACTCATCAACTCGGGCGTAGTTAAAACTACTTATTTCCTTATATGTATCATAACTAGCAATAACCTATAACTCCCTCTTGCTCTTTCGCCTATCCTTGTCCCACCTAGGTCGATAAGGGAACCACAACATGAGAATTAAATTAAAAGTATTTTTAAAACCACCTTGCCTGAGTTCAACCCTCCTTGGGAATAAACATCCAGATCCGTATTAATTATCTGTGGGTCACACAAATACTTGTCCTGTACGGGAGTCGAAGTCACATCTCTCAGCGCCGTATAACGAGAAACTTGTAAATCGATATATTTGCTTAG